AGTGTTGATCTATACTTGAGTACAGTTAGAAACGGATATCGCTATGTGATATATATAGTGACCTCCCTTTCTAACTATGCTCAATACTAGATCAATCACTGAGAATCTTTCTATAATACGAGCCTCAATTTGAAGAAAATTTTACTAGAAAATATTCCACGTGGACTAGGCAGGAGACGGGACTCGAACTCGCACCCTTCGCTATCCGGGCGAATGCACTGACCATTATGCTACTCTCTTATGAATTTTCTCTAGCCTTAGGCTGCAAGGCAGCGCCTTCTCTTCGTATTGTAGGTAACCCACAATGTCAAAAGAATACCCTTACAAGTATTAAACATTTGAAAGAAGAAATAGCAATTATAGTTATATTTTAAGCATTTAATGTCTGGATGTTTAAATCTAAAGAATATTTTTTTCAGGGCCGCGGTAGCATAATGGTCAGTGCATTCCTCCGGATAGCGAAGGGTGCGTGTTCGAGTCCCGTCTGCTGCCTGGTCCGCGTGGATTTTTTTCTAGTAGATATTCGTCAAAAAAATGGTAGAACTTCAATACCTATTAGCATTCGGCTAGTTTTTGCGTCAAATTCAAACTGGGCTCCTGTCCTTCATACTAAAATGGAGATTTATACGACCGTTGATGCTAATAGGATCGGATTTAGCATCTACCTTTATTCCCCTTCGGTCTAGAGGTAAGTTTAGTTAGGTAAGCGAGTTTGCCCTCATCCGAAATTCATCAATGGCCGCCTACACGCTGTTTGATTAAATTTAAGTGGAATCTGCAATAGATGTAGGCCACCGAAATGTTAATTAACTTTCATGTTGTTATGATATCGAGTTAGCTTTAGCGCCGCTCCGTATGAAAACCAACAAACTGTGTTTGACTACAAAATAAGGAGAACTAGATAGGGACTTACCGCTATGAAAGGTAGCCGATATTCCTTATGATAATCGTTTCAGTGATAACGAAGTGAAAACGTGGAGGTTTTCACTCTGAAGTTAGCAACTGTTGACGACATAAAGGAGTTTGTGCTCCTTTATGTCGCAAACATTCGGAAACTTATGATAAAAGAATGTTCACGTTAAGCGCTCGATCCGATTTAAAAGGTCGACCTCGTATTCTTTTTTAAAACGTCTTCCATCTTTCTTTAACTTCAAGTAAATAACAACTCAAGTTCTGAGTATATGTACTTCCATATCGTGCGCTTTTCTAAATTTTCGGCCGATGAATGTTGTCGCACATGGTGTGCGTTGAGTCCATGATAAGTCCATGCGGATATTTTTTTCACGATACAGGGATTTATGTCCGCCGCGGACAATAGTCCCTCGTCTGCGCAGGCCATATTAGGTTAGCCTACATTTAAATTTGTTCATATTATAATGGCCGTTTCTCTAATAGATCTTCATGTATAAATGACCTCTTTGATTTGTATAAGAAAGCAAAGCTTATAATAACATAAATTATTAATGCTACGATTCACAACTCGTAGCTGCTACGGCGTAGTACGATACGGGCTGCGTTTTATGGTGAATGTAAGCCCGTGGATACCTTTTATTTTTGTAGCCACATTATATTTTATTGTTAATTTACTGGCGTTTTATTAGCCCCGCCAAAAATAAATTCTGGGCTGCAGTAAATTGTATTTGGCTACCTTATCTGTAACGTTTTAATTACAATTTTTGTAGAGCTATAGGAGCATACCATTTTAGAGGTTCATTGGCTTTTTGACACCAATGCTATTAGTAAGTAATTGTGTAATATTTTGACTAAGGAAAATATTGTGCTTATAAAAGTGTTACAAAGGTCGTTGGCATCCATTAATCCAGATCGGGTGTACTTGGTTGGTGTATTATGGTTCGTTTTATATATTTACTTCCTTTATTTAATTTTCTAGAGAATTGTTATGATCTATATTATAGTATTATTTTTAAGAATTTCTACAAACCACGAGGAATTTCCTTTTTTTTATTTTTTGTTCAAAGGGCCTTTTGAATCAAATTGTCCAAACTAGCTCCGTTGTAACCTGACCATACAATTTTCTTATATTTAATCATTTGCTACACAATTTTTAGCTACCACAACGAACTAAGTACATAGTTGTAAGATTTTCAAGAGACTATATTCCCGTATACAGTACTGTTTGAAGTTTATAGTGTTAAAGTTTAAATACAAAAAAAAATGTGTGCACGGACCACACATCTGAAAAAAAAAACTTCTTTTCTTAAATAACCTAATTTAAATTAGGCGGTGCATAAGGCATGTGGGAATGGAGCAGCGCACGCATCACTCATATTAATTTATATATATATATATATATATATATATATATATATATATGTATTTATATGTATTTATATTGTCGCGCGTGACGCTCGTAGCTTTTAATCTCGCATCTCGCTCGCGCGCATCGTCATGCCTTGTGACGCTGTTGATGTAATTCCGTTTCATCTTTTCCATAGAATTTTTCCATTGCGCCTCGTCCGAAAATAAGTTTCACTTAAAAAATACAAAAAGCTATAAAGCGACCTTTGGTATTTGTAGTTAAAATATAATTAAACTCGTAGACCGCCTGTACAGTGTGTTTTGTTCCTTACCACAATCCAACTTACATGTTCTTACTTCTACTTTACAAAAATGCTCATGCATAGGGTTGCAACGATATATCGGAATATCGAGACCAAAATATCGATATTTATATCGATATTTAAAATTCACTGATATCGATAATATCGATATCGGAAATTCCAAAATATCGATATTTCGTAGACTAAATTTAAACACAATAATATCAATTAATTTACCTGCTATGACTATCTAAATTGAATAATATGGAAATAACTATTGCTTTGAAATCGCAAGAGCTTATAGATGTATTAAAAAATCCTGAACCCCAAGAAATATACTAAACTGGTGTGGATTCTGGCATGATTCTCTCAATCTAAAATTAAATTTGACAACAGTGTATCTTTGTCATTCTCTATACAGAATGACAAGGAGAGACTGATGTTAAATTTAGTTTTAAGTTTACATAATCATGCCTGAATCGACACCAACGTATATAGGTATAATCGTATACCTAATGGTAACTCATGCACTTAAATAAAATCCTTGCCTCTCTTTCTAGATAATTGTCAACTACTGATTAATTGAAATTAAATATCATTGTAATATAACACAAAATAAAATTAAGAATCTTATACAAATCGTAAATTTTTAAGCTCGCCAAGTCAAGCAAGTAAGATAGGTATAGTAATTTTTGAAGCTTTAGGCTTACCCTATTCTGAAGCCATGGGTACGCCCCTGATGTGTGGGAGACTAAGCAATTTGCGTATTTGATGTGCGCTAAAAAACCGACATAGCATGGAAAAGCACGAATGTAGTGAAAACTTAGCGAAGGCATTCGCAAATGTCGTCCCACATATGCGGGTTGGCGCATTCGTGCTAACAAATGTGAGTGATCTGATCAGGATAATAATTTTAATTTTTTGGTTTCCTGTCGTGGCTGAAACAAAAACCGTACGAGCCAAAAAAAATCCTGCTTGGCGCGATTTCATCAAGCGTGTTTAAAGAAAAAGCTCGCTCAATGCATTTTGCGAGAAACTCGCCAACAAACATATGAATGTGTCACACTCACCCCGTATTCTAATGTTTATAAAAAAAAAGAAAAAAATATCGATATATCGATAATATCGAGTTAAAATGGTCGATATATCGGATATCGATATTTTCATGACTTCGATATAAATATCGATATAATATCGATATTTCAAAAGACTTTGCATCCCTACTCATGTATTATGACGACTTCCGTGGCCGAGTGGTTTGCACGCCAGGTTTCAAGGTATCACCTACTCGAGAGGTCCCGGGTTCAAATCCCGGTGGGTGCAGTAGTTTGTGTGATGAATACGAGCATTTGTACTCCAGTCATGGATGTTTAATGTATTTCTATATAATTATAGTTATATATGTACAGTTTATGAACTTACCCCTTAACCCCAAAGGGCTAGGCTAATTGGTGTGAGTGTTGGAAATATTTATTAAATTTATTATAAAACAAATGGGTGACAGTCTGACTGAATAAATAAATTCAATTAGCTTAGGATGACGGAGAATTGATGATGAAGTCCTTATTGCTTTATGAATTTATTTGCTACAGTTAGATGTTTAATAGTAGAAGTTTTAAACTTTTATGGTAACTAAAATTATAGTATTTACGGGATTCCTACAATATACCTTGTTTATAGCTAGTCCCCGATATTTCAGCACTGTTGTAAGCCATATATAATATACAGTTCTACAGAAGTAATTATCTTAGGTATTCTCCAAAACTCTTAAAGTTAGGTTGATTTTATGCAATTAGTATAATCCTATCCCTACGTGAATCATTAGTCAGTCAAAAAGAGATGAGTAGAGACGGTCGATAGTGACATTGTACAAGCAAAATTTTTTTAATATGATCGTAGCTTTACTTCTGTAAACTTGGGTAATAAATTAAATATCATGAATGTCCAGAAAATTATATTATTAATCGGCTGGTGATGATTGATTGAGTTCTTAGTATTTTATTTTTAATATTTTAGAGATACATACAGCAAATTTTGCTTACTTGCTATTCTGCATAATATTTATGTTTAAAGCCTATTACTAAGTTTAAAGCTTATTTCCGCAGATAATTACAGTAATAATTAACAAAGTCGGCATGTCGTGCACATGATGCTTAAATGCATTTTTAAGTAGGTATGTATATAATATATACTCGTATATTACTTATAAGCAATTGAAAAACAGAAAGATACACAATACCTGTGTACGTCTGTCATAGAGCATTTTTTTTACTGTGCTCATTATTCATTTGTATAAAGAATAGATATAAATTATATTCTTATTTCTTACCTTTTTACTCACGCCAATCATATAGTAAAACACTTTTCGAACGAGTTTACAGTGCTGTTTTTTATTAGATATATAGCGCGGTTTAACAAATAAAGGTGTCAAGCACTCACCAGGTGCTGCCACCAGCAGCCCCTCAGGGTCGTTGGCCTCATCGCCAGCCACTGCCGCAGCCAGCGCCAGCAACACCCAGCACAGCCCGACCATAGCTCCTGGAAAATAATAAAAATTGTAAAAAAGGGCGCCTCCCTCCTTAAAATATTGAAAGGATTAAATACAACAAAGGATTAGGAGTTGACATATACATATACCACCAGTCTGCCTTAAATTGACTGCCTTTACCGTACATAAGCCATTGATGTTACTTTTTAATAAGAGCCTAAGGGATGGTGTCGTACCTCTGATATTTAAAACTGCTCGTATCATTCCTGTTTTTAACGGTGGTGATAAGTTTGATGTTGCATGTTACCGTCCTATCTCTATACTCCCAGTGATATCAAAGATTTTGGGTAGATTAGTCCATAACGCCATTTACCTCTCTTTGCGTAATAATATAATAGATAATCAACACGGCTTTGTTAAAAAACGATCTACAGTAACAAATTTTTTGCAATATATATCATATTTATTTGACAGTTTAGATAGTAATAAGCAGGTAGATAGTGTTTACACCGATATCCGAAAAGCTTTTGATAGGGTCGATCACAAGATACTTTTGGAAAAGCTGGCCTTTAATGGAATACGTCACCACGTAAAACCAGCGCCATAAGTCACCACTTATGGCGCTGGTTTAAATCCTACATAACAAATTGTACTCAAAAAGTAGTGCTGAGTGGTTATGAGTCTGACCTTATTCCAATTACATCTGGAATACCGCAAGGGTCGATTTTGGATCCTCTTCTGTTTATAATTTTCATAAACGATATTGGTAGTTGTTTTAAATTCTGTGATTATCTTCTCTACGCAGATGATTTAAAGATTTATCATACCATTGAACAAATTGATGACCACCTCAAAATACAGGAGGATCTTGAGCGTTTCTCTGAGTATTGTACTAAGATCAATATTTTCCTTAGCTTGAATAAGTGTAAATCTATTACTTTTACAAAGAAAAACAAAACAAAATTAATTTAAGTTACAAGTTCAAGTCAGAGTGCAATTGGAGCATGCAATCTATGAAAGACTTAGGCGTCACAATGGACAGTCAACTACACTACTTCAGAATGTATGTATTTGTAATGCGATCTAGCACTAACTTTACTCGCCACTCCACATACCTTTACTTATACAAGACTTTAATCCGCTCTCAACTCGAATGTGCTGTGCCCATCTGGAACCCTTTTTATAAAAAATACACAGATGCTTTAGAAGCAATATAGAGGAAGTTTTTGCGCTGCATGAATTACAAGTGTTATCGTTATAGATTTTCTTATGAGCAGCTCCTAAGCAAGTATAAATGTATTAGCGTACATTTTTAGAAACAACCATATTGTATGACAAATGTCACAACCGTTACGATAGTATTACGTTAACGAATAGATAAAGATATAAGGTACCCACCAGAACTCACTGTCGTAATACCTGTAAATTGTTTGACGTTGTCGAACCAATGCTGGAAAAAGATCACCGTTCTATCGTATGACTAATACGTATAATAATTTATTTAATTCTTTGGATATGGCAACAGAAAACAAATATACATACAGAAAAGCTTTGCTTGAACTGCTACAAGCTTAATTAACATCGCATCTCTCACTTATTTGTCGGTCCATTTCTAGCTTAGAATTTCTTTTTGTAATTTGCGGTAAACGTTGCTGGAATCACAATTATACGTATAATGTATTATGTACTAGTTATTTAAAATGTTTTGTGGCATTGTTAGATTACCTAAATAAATTAATAAAAATGACCAAAAACTTATTATCTGCATCACCTCTGAGTTTAAATACGTAAGAAGAAGGAAGATATGTAAAACCGTTAATCCCGGCTGCATCTGCTTCTGCAGTTGTTAGCACCCACTAATCCGCATTGCCCGCTTGGTGGGAAATCTCCCTATTCCATCCATACAGAAGGCCTGTGCCCCTGCAGTGAGGACATTAATAGGCCGATAATAATTAATGAGAAGCATGTGTTGCTGTGTGTGTCTGTACTCAATGGCTTATACGTACATAAGAAACAGTGGTACAATTTTGATAGTGGATGGTACTCCGTGAGACTGCAGCAAGTTGAGTAAGTTAAGATTTCACATTTGGAAACCCAAGACTCTTTATTTTATTTTATTTTATTAATGTTTCTTTTAAAAAATGTGTTACATGTTTTGCACGCGACAATAATTATAGATTTAAACCCTGAGCTATAACCTACTACCGTATACAGTATACAGGAGGCGTTACTCAAAGACCTGCATGATGTCGACTGGTCGTTAGTGACTAGCGCGGCTACATTGGACGAACAAGTGCATACTTTCAACAATATTATAACCAAGCTTTATGATAAACATGCACCGCTTCGTCCTATTAAGCTTAAGCACCATCCAGCACCTTGGCTCACACCAGAGATAAAAATATTGATGCACAAGAAGAATGTGGCCAAGAGTAAATATAAAATTCGTCCGACAGACTCTAATAAAAACAACTATGCAAAGGCTCGCAATCACTGTAACATGGTGTGTAGGGATGCTTTACGTCGCCATATTCATGCATCTGTCAGCAATAATGATCCTGCTAAAGTGTGGAACTTCCTTAGATCACTTGGAATTGGTAAACCTCGTCAAACGTCTTTTCCTAGTAACATCGATATCAATTCATTTAATGTTCATTTCTCTGTATCTTCTAGTCTCAGTAATTTGCACAAAGCTAGTACTATAAATGTTCTTTCATCTTTACCAGTTCCAGACTACTCTCCTTTTGTCTTTACTCAATTTTCCGAATGTGACGTTAAGAAGAGCATGCTGTCCATTTCTTCCAATGCGGTAGGTTATGATAGTATTAGTCGTAATATGCTGATACCTATCTTAGATATGATCCTTCCTATCCTTACCTTTCTTTTTAATAGCTCTATAACAAATGCTGTTTGTCCATCGGCTTGGAAAGAAGCCCAAATCGTTCCTTTGCCCAAAAAATGTAATCCTCAATTTCTTGCTGATTTTCGGCCTATTTCTATCCTTCCTTTCTTATCTAAAGTCCTTGAACGTCTTGTCCTTAACCAATTCAATACATTCCTGTCTCGTCATAATCTTTTTAATCCTCTTCAATCCGGTTTCCGTCCTGGGCATAGTACTACGACTACCCTCCTGAAAATTACAGACGACATACGCCTTGGGATGGATCAGGGTCATATCACAGTATTGACATTACTAGATTTCAGCAATGCTTTTAATACGGTCAATTTTGACATTCTTTTGGCTTTGCTGCGCTCTCTTAACGTATCTCCATCGGCAATTGAGTGGTTTCGCAGTTATCTGCAGGGACGCAGGCAGAGGGTTCGCGTCGATGAGATTTTTTCCTCGTGGATCGACACTTCTGCTGGTGTTCCCCAAGGCGGCGTTTTATCTCCTCTTCTCTTCGCTATATTTATTAATTCTATTTCGAATAATATTTCTTCTTCCTACCACCTGTATGCAGATGATCTTCAAATTTATAGACAAGCCTCTCTTGGTCAATTATCCGAAGCAATACTGGCAACAAATAATGATCTGCGACACATTGTAGAGTGGAGCGAATCTTTCGGACTAGAAGTAAATCCCTCCAAAACACAGTGCATTATCATTGGTAGCTCAAGGTTGATTGCCAGAGTGAACTGGCAGTTACTTCCTACCATATCTCTTGCTGGCACCAATATTCCATTCAGTGTTTCTGTAAAAAACTTAGGATTAACTGTCGATAACTGTTTGAGTTGGGGTCCACAGTTACAAACTGTTAGCCAAAAACTGTTCGCTTCGGCAGCCTCGCTGAAGAGACTTCGCAATTTCCTTCCTACTGCCACCAAAATTTCCCTAGCACAGTCTCTGCTGCTCCCTATTCTTGATTACGCTGACGACTGCTATCTTGATCTCACGGAAGACCAGCTTAATAAGCTTGAGCGATTTCAAAATTTCTGTATTCGTTTCATATTTTGCTTACGCAAATATGATCATGTGTCGCAATTTCGATCACAGCTCAAGTGGCTACCAATTCGACTTCGCCGGAATACTCATATCCTCACACTTCTCTACAATATATTGTTCAATCCTTTGTCCCCGCGCTATCTCAAGGAATGCTTCAATTACCTTCATACCTCAAACGCGTTATCTCTTAGGTCATCAGAGAATTTAACCCTAAAAATTCCTACTCATGACACAACCTTCTATGGTCGTTCTTTTGCCGTCCAAGCTGTTCTACTGTGGAATTCTCTTCCAGTATCCATAAGACGAGCACAATCTATTCATACTTTCAAAAAACTTGTTTTCAACCATTATTTGTCGATGTAACTGCAATTGCTTTTTTTTTCTGACTGGATTCAACTTTTATATGTGTAGTCTATGTATGTATTTGTCATATATTTATATTATATTATATATATATATATCTTATAGTAATATTATGTGTATATATTGTGTATGTATGGTATGTATATATATTTAATGTGTTTCTTTTATAACACCACCGACACCAATTTCATTCAATCCTCTCCATCCAAAGGTTGTCTGGAAGAAATCGCTTTTAGCGATAAGACCGCCCATTGAATCACTGTTTAAACATAATGTATTTACCCCATTTATGTACTGTACTGTGGTGTTTCAATAAAGAATTTTGTATTGTATTGTATTGTATATCAATATTATATTACAATCCGTTTGCTTTCCGCTTTAAATAAGAAATACTTTTTGAACTACATTAGGTAGTTTAGATCAGATTAAGTTTCAATAGCGAGAGCAAAACAAAGCACCGCCAGCTGCTAATTTTATCATGCAAATTTATTGACGGATAATGTAGTTACGGAAACTATTATAGGCAGTTGCCAGACAATTGTGGCGTCGTTAAGCTGTATAGCTTTGATATGATATAAATTAGTGCAACATTATGTTTATCTGTATCCTTCCTGCACAAAATAGAGTTTTAGTTGTAAACAAATTTGTATTCAAATTTTATACATTAGGTACCCTATACTCAATATTTATTACAACCATAATGTTTAAAAAAAATGATGATTATAAAATGATAAAAGTACGCTT